AATAAACAAACAAACAAACAAACAAACAAACAAACAAACAAACAAACAAACAAACAAACAAACAAACAACTTGCATAAAAATGGGGTGGACATGATATACCAGAGGGGAGGACATGCAAAATCAAAGCACTGTGAGTAAGGTTTGCTGTGAAGCTGCTTTATCATTTAAACCTTTGAAAAATATTTCTGTAGAAAAATAATATGGAAAAGGTACTTCATGACATCAGCATGCAGAGCAAGAAAAATTTAGAACAATAATTTTGCAAAATATATCTTAATTCAAAATTCAGAATGATTCCATTCAGCATCACCCCTTTGCCCTCAGACTACCTTAAAATTATAAAATCTTTTCAACATAGAAGCAACATTTTACTTTTACTTTTGTTTTGTAACAGTAACAGCTCATCTAGTTCCCCAGCATAAAATCGATTCCTAACTGCAGCAGCATTCATGCCGTTCTGTAGATTAGCCCTGCAATCATCAGATCCTCATCTGTAAAAAGACAGTGACTTATTGTACTGTTATCTTCTGAGGATGAATACAACGAGAATGGATTGTCCTTTCCCTCTATATATAGCAAGAATTATAAATTACATACATTGTGCTACTGAAGTCACTTACTCTTTTAGAAGATCTTTATTTTCATGCATTTCATCTTCTAGTTTTAGGCTTAGCTTTTCATTTTCAAACTAAATTTATAAAACAAAAAGGTGCAAAAGATATGCTTTTCTATAAATAAGCTATTATTCTCAAAGATATATAAAGAAACACACTATGTTTCTTGACCTTGGTTTTAACGGACTTGATTGCTACCTTACAAAATTAATTACATCAAAAGTATATCTGCAATTATGAAAGTTAGAAACAAGCTTTTTAAAAAAGAAGCCAGAATTCTCAAACTTCCAATAAGATCCATGGAAAAGAGTCTTCAGACTTGTATGCAATCTGAGGCAAAGAGTGATGCATGTGTTGAAGCTATTATCAGCATAGGGATTTACAGTATTTTATTCTGCCCTCCTTCTCCTAGTATGGGAACCAAAGGTGGCTCAAAATGGATCCAAAAGATATGCAAATAAAACACAATAAATCACAACATTTTAAAACTATTTTAGTAATATTAAAAAGACTAATAATGTTTAAATAATTTTATTGCATACTGTATGAGCTATAATGTCCAATTTAATTGTTCAAAGTCTGCATATAAAGGAAGGTTTTTAATCTGTCACTGGAAGGACAGCAGGAAGAGGACCAACCTGGCCTCATCATGGATGGCTCTGAAGAATTTGGAAGCAACCACTAAAAAAGTCCTGTCTCCTGTCCTCATCAAACACATCTGTGAAGACAGCAATACCAAGAGGACCTCCCCAAAATATCTTGAAACCTGGACCAGCTCATATAGGTAGATACAGTCCTTCAGACAACCTGGAACCAAGTCATGTAACACTTTATAAGCCATAACCAGTGCTTTGAATTGTGCTCAGAAAGAACCTCATAGCCCATGAAGTTGTTGTAACAAGGGGGTTATGTACTCCCTGTAACAGTCCTGATAAGCCCTCTGGTTGCAACACTTTGAATCAGCTGAAGCTCCTGAGCACTCTTTAAACTAAGGCAGTCCACATACAGTGTGTTGCAATAATCCAGAAAGAATGTAACTAAGGCACGTGTCACTGTAGCTAGATCTGCCATTTCAAGCAATAGGCACAGCTAATGCACTAGATTTAACTGTGCAGAGGTACTGCTGCTGCACCTTGCTATTCTCCTATTCTCAATCATCTTCATGCTCACCAGGGAGAAAGGATACAACCCTTATGTGATCCCTCCAAAGGAGCAATCCTTCACAAAACTGCTTTAAGGGTTTTTTTAAATTTTAAAGTTATGCATTTCAAAGTGTTCCAAATACAGTACTTGCCTGTAACTCTTGGATGGCTTTACGCAATGCTTCTGTAATTTTTCTGTTTTCCTGTAAAATTCTTTCTTTTTCCTTTATTTCATATTCTACAGTAACCTTCCATCTCTTGATCTTTTCAGCTTCTTTGTAAAGTCTTGAATAAAGTTCATTCATTGTCTCCACATTCTACCAAGGCAAGTTTCAATAATTTAATCACAAACATACTTAAAATTTCAGATAAAAACACATTTCATTATCACTCCTTTTAATTATTAAAATGTTTTACTTAACTATGTTTTTATCTAAATTTCAGCAGCCACATTAGCCATTAAAATTTTCTCTAGTGTGTGCAGGGAAGAATATGGAATATACAAATAATGCATAATGAGATGTCAGCGATATGTGTGCTATTACAAGTACAGTGGGGTCTCGACTTAAGAACGACCCGACTTGCGAACAATTCGAGTTACAAACCTGCCCTACAGGGAAAGTAAGGACTCGACATGCGAACTTCCCTCGAGTTACAAACAGGGGAAAAAGTCCCCCCTCCCTCCCCTTAGAGGCTTCTGGAGGGGGGAAAAGGGTCAGAAACTTAAAAATAAATACTGTACT